TTCAGGTCTGCGTAGCTTACAGACTCTACTGGAACAGGTGCTACAAGATTTTCTGCGATTTCGAAGGCGTCTTGGCCGCAAACGCAAAGCAGGGTGGCCGCCTTCAAGCTATCTTCCCTCACTTGATTTGCCTTGAAGTAGTTCTCCATTCTGGATACGTAGGACTCCCACCGCTCTGGATGTGAGACGTCGAATTCCGAAAGCCTTCCGATTTTCGCCATCTTCGGATCTTCAGGAGACGGGTCTATCAGCCAGCCTACCCCCGAATGCGCACCGGATTGGCGGGCAGCTGCCGAGTCGACGCCGTTCCTCTTCCGCCGCTCAGGACTCCTTGGGTAAGCTTACACTTTTTCCTTTCCAGGTAGTGCAAGGCATCCCACCCTCGTCGCCAGTGTTGCGTCCTTGGCGGGAAAACAGACACGAGAAGCAGCTGGAGTTCTCAGTTTCTTTTATTCAGCGTTCAGCTTACAGGAAGATGGCTTCAGCCTCGCCCAAACGCCTCGCAGCCTCTTATATAGGCAACTCCCGGGTAAATGGGTTACTTTTCCCGCGCCAGCACCCGCGCATGCGCACGGCGCTGGCGACAGCCTGTCTGGTCCCGGGCAGCTTTGCACCTGCCCGGGACTGCCTGCAAACGCCCGAGCCGTTTGCAAAGGCTCGGGACATAACAGTGTCATTAAATTATTTCAATGCATTTGTTTATATGTTTCACTGACCTTCCATCAAAAAGCTTCCCTTCATAGCAGTCTCTCAGATTGTTTTGCAAAGCACTGGAAAGTACATGCGCTGAAAGATACGAAGAACAGAGAGCCTAACCATTTATTTCATTCCTTGTGTAGAGTGAAGCGAAAGGATTTTTTTTAAAAAAATTCTACAACTAGTAGTTTTTCAGGTCTTGAGAGAGGCTTTTCTTTGCACGCTCCAATTAGCTGGAGGCTAATTGTTGACTCAGCCCTTTTCTGGGTCTTCTCTAAGTTTTGAGGTCAGCAGGAGTGAAATCAATTGCAGGTGCCTTTTAGAATGGAATTGGAAAATGCTACTGTTGTGGAAATTTTCTATTTTAACAAAAATTATTTGGAAAAAACATTTTTTTCATTTGGGTAAATACTGTAACAGTGATATTTTTCCCCCCATCTGGTACAAAAGTAAGAGCAAACAGTACTCAAATCATATTCACTTCTACAGAATAATAAAATTACAGAATACCTGTGCTGAATAGGTAGCAGTTTTGAGATGTGCTTTCTTGCTGCATAACTAAATTAACAATGATGCATGATTTTGCTTAAAAACAAGAATGAAGAGCAGAACCCTGTCTGCCAACTGCTCTGGGGTAGAGCAAACAGGATTCAGCTTGATTTGAACCAATGGATACAGACAATCATGACTATTACCTTCTCTCCAGGGATTCAGTTACTCTACTCAGCTCAAGTCTCTCCATATTTCACTATTTTGCAACTCCCAGCAACCCAAACGAGCCTACTAAAGGATGCTGGGAGTGGCTGTTCAACACTATCTGGACGCAAACAGGTTTTCCCACCAGGGTCTTAAGAAAACAAGGAAAGGTAGGGTAATCTAAAAATCCCCGGTGGAGCCATTTCACTACTATGGTAGACATCAAACTAAATTGGACAATCAAGTATGAGGAACAGAAGGCTTTGTCTCTACTTAATATCCTAGTATAATTTCTTATTGGGGATGACAGGAACTAAACTGTTTTGTCTATCTAGAGCAGTTTATGCATTGAATGCTTGATACATTCCTACATGTCATGAGAATTTCTTTTGAGTGGTATGCAAATCTTTCTGAGCTGAAGTTTTGTGAAGTGAATGCCTATGTTCCCATACATTATTTATAATTTGTAGAATGATATAAATCAAGCCAAATATTTAGAAAGGATCTCTCTTGGAATTTATACCAACTATAGCTAATAGTCCTGGAGGCTGGAAATTTTGTGGAATTGTATTCCCAATGCATTAAGGAAATCTTTAATAAATAAACTGATCTTCTGGATATCTGTTCTATTAGATATATAGTTAAAAAGATAGAGATGTTAGGAATAAAATAACGAAGCTGCATATCTTTTACTTTCAAAATCTTTTAATAGTACACAGTTGTCATATGTAAAGATTTACATTTGTTAAAAAAAGACATTTTAATCTAATACTCCCCATTCATTTCACCTTTTGTTGCCCTGACCACATACCCAGTTTTCAGTCTCTGTACCTGATATAACAACATGTTGATTATTAAATACAAAGTTCTAAAATAGTTACTAGATTGTTTATGGACATTGGTACTGTGGCTACTCTAGAAATTTTTGTGAAAGATTCTACATGGGTTATTATAGTCAGGGGGCACAGAAGGGAAGAAGGGGACATTGTTAGCCCATAAAACTTTTCTTTTTCAGTTGAGTACATTCTACAGAAGCCAAAAAAGTATGGATTGTTTTTCTTCTTCCAAATTATCTACAGTTTAAATAACCTGTTATCTCTCTAAAAGTTATAGAAATACTATGTGCAATGTTTGCAAATATGGAATTTACATTGTCTTTTCCCCCCTTTGATGTGGTAGCAAATCTTTACTCTCATAAATGACTATAACCTGGCAAAAACGGAATTGTCTCTTCTTACCAGCAGACACTAAGTCCATAGTATTAAAGTGCCGGTGTGCTTTGAAAATAACTGGATAGAACTTGCCATGGGGGATTAGGAACAGAAATACATTTTTTGATTAATGCATTTTAAAAAATAATGTAAAGCTGCAGCATTAGGGAGAGCTAGAAAGAAATCCAGTTCTAAACACACTCAGATGCACCAAAATCTTAATGAACAAAATATGTATCATATTCATGTAAATGATGATCAAATCAGAAAAGTTTTTTTTTCTTCCATAATGATTACAACATTGAGTTACCCTGCTTCTTTGTAGCATACATTACATCTCAGTAGGGCTGTTGATTTATTTAAGATTTTTTAATCTGATTAAAAATTGACTTTTAAATCCAAAAGTCAGTGTCTTAAACATTCATAAATTAGCTTATTACCAAAACTGTTAGCATAACAAGATATTCCTTTCAATAACAAAAGCTGTAATATCTCTTTTAAGATTATTCATTCGCCTGCTTTTTTTTCTATAATCAAGCTTTCCAATATACTAATTTATTAATATTAGCAGAGTTCAGACCTTAAACCAGTCACATCTGTAGAGCTCTTTTCCTACTTGTCTTCCTCATTCTTACTTTAGCATATATGTACTAAGTATGTGCATAAAGCTACACAATGCAACTGGGATCAATTATTTAGAGCTATACAGTATAGAACAGACATCTCACTCAAGTCGTAGAAAGTGTATGTTACGTTTGTAGCTTACTTTTTAAATCACATTGACAAACTGAAGTTTATAGTACGGCTTATCATGATCAAAGACAGAGTAACAGACAGCTACATTATTTCCAGAATTCCATTCAGGTCATGGGGGCAAGACACTTCTGACTGGAGATACTGGCCAATCTTTTTCTCTTCCCCCAGCCTGGCCTCAGCCACTTTTCTTTGGGAAAATCTCTTCCATAAAGAGACAACTGACCAAGAGTAGGGGACTTAAGGATTGCATTTGTGAGCAACTAGTTATCTACCCCGCCTCCTTGAAATGTGTTTAGAACTGGGCAATAAGTTTTAGTTTACATTTGGAAAAGCAGGAAAAAACCAAATCAAAACCTTAACATAGAACCAATCTTGCTCCCTAAGTCTTCATATTAAAAGACAAGATTTCAGTTCACTTCTATTACTAAGATGCTTGGCAGGAATAGACACTGCTTTAGCGATTTCTACCAAAAAAAAAAAATACAAAAAACTTTGAACAGAACCATTCTGCAGAATTGATATATATCTCTTCAGAACCATTGTGTTTTGCTTTTTATAAAAAAGGTAATGTTATTTAAAAAAGGCCCAACCCAAAGTTATTTAAAATTCCATGAAGATTATTGCACACACTGTAGTACTTCAACTGGATTTTTCAAAAGGGCAAGTAGAAAATATTTGTATCACAAAGTATGCATGCTTTATTTTCCTGAATGCATTAGCTTACAGTAAGTTGTATTGATTGGTCTTTATTGAATATAATTCCATGAAGCAACTCCTTAGTTTTATTGACATTCCAACAATGCTTCCCAAGTACTGAAAAGATACTAATTTTAATTCTTTTTAATTTGAGTGGTGATAGTTCCTCTCATCTCAATGCAGGCTACATTTTGCACTTTAGTTTCTTCCTAACATATTGCACTTTACCTTACTCAGAGATTAGGTATTGAAGGTGTCGGGCACAATAGATTTCATAGTTACTAGACAACTAGTGCACATTTTAACCACTGCAGATACTGCCGGCCATTTGGGTGCCTTAGCAAATTAGGCTGTTAGCAGAAGAGCTGATTCAGATATTTGTTACTATGCAAAAGGCCTAGAACAGGGATCTAGGACAACTTGCCCTGGCCAATTCGCCATGGCCATCTCGTTGTGGGACAATTCAATGCTGTATTGTTTCATTCAGTTACTTTTATTATTGGTGACCATATTTTTGTCAAAATTATCATAATTCTTCCATTTCTGGATTGACATCATCATCATCATCATCATCATCATCATCATCATCATCATCATCATCATCATGTTGGAAGGGACCTTGGAGATCATCTACTCCAACCCCCTGCTCAGGCAGGAAACCCCATACCATTTCAGACAAATGGTTGTCCAGTCTCTTCTTAAAAATTTCCAGCGTTGGAGGATTTGCAGCTTCTGGAGGCAGGTTGTTCCACTAATTAATTATTCTAACTGTCAGGAAATTTCTCCTTAGTTCTAGGTTGCTTCTCTCCTTGATTAGTTTCCAACCGTTGCTTCTTGTCCTGCCTTCAGGCATTTGGAGAATAGCTTGACTCCCTCTTCTTTGTGGCAGCCCCTGAGATATTGGAACATTGCTATCATGTCCCCCCTCGTCCTTCTCTTCCTTAAACTAGACATACTCAATTCCAGCAACCGTTCCTTATATATTTTAGCCTCCAGTCCCCTGATGATCTTTGTTGCTCTTCTCTGTACTCTTTCTACTTTATTTTATTATTATTGGCCACATTTCTGTTCAAATTAATTTATCTTTTGCATTTGTTGAATTGTCCTGCGGTGAGTTGTCCTGCAGCGAGATGGCCACGGCAAGTTGCTTGTGGTGAGTTGTCCCATTACACCTGACCAGGATCACATTGCCTAATTCTGATGCTTCTGCATTGCTCTGTCTCATTAACTTTATTGCCTTTGCATGTCAAATTGATCTAAGTTCCATATATGTATGGGAAAGCCAAACTTGATGCTGTGGGTATACAGACCTCGGGGATAAACATGATGGATGGATGATCGGATGTTCAGAGGAGCATGGTTACATGAAGGACAAAACAAAGGGACACAATTCCTTCACTATACATGAGGTTGATTATCTGCATTTGATGTATAGGGACCAAGTAATTAAGCCAAAAACAAAGGACCGGAATCATTTTGATCATCATAGTGTGCTTTTCCCTACCTTTTACATGAGAAGATTGCAAGGGTTTTTGTAAGAATTGCACTAATTGCCTATATATTAAAATGATTAATAGGTTCAAGAAGAGCAGTCTAATTTAGTTGGTGACCTGGTTAGATTTCATTTCCTGCTCAATGGACTGGAATAATGACAGCATTTGTATATTTATAATTTTCCCCAAGCAGGGTAGTAAGAGTCTATTGGTATGGAGCATTACATGAAAAAAATGAAGATTTTGATAAACAATGCCCCTTTATTTCAGAGTGATTTAAACAATTACCAGTTGTCAAAATTAATTTGGAATGTATTTTTAGGAAAGTGTCCAATGTGAGCTGATTTTATAATCATAATGAAGCATATTTCAGTGTTTAAGATTATACCCTCAAATTCAAACTGGGTTTTAATATATGATTAGGGATTGTTTTCAGTCAATATTTATGTTTGATTTAGTTTCTATATTTAACAAAATGTGGTCTATATGAGTGCATGACCTCGAATATCTACTAACTGGGTTTAAAGCACTTATTAAGACTGCAATGGTAAATACATTTAACAGACAGATTAAGCTGAAATCAATAATTTTAGCAAACATTCATGAGGCTTGAAAAGCAAAGTCATTTTATCCTACTATTCTTTTTAAGAATGAATAAAGAGATAATGTGATCCATAGAAAAGAGCAACTTGGTCACATCAATACTGATAAGTTCACATTTGGACTCTGAAAAGGCTCCCCAAATGGTGCCAGCACAGATTTGAGGATCCTTGGATATGCACAATACTGATTTATCTGAAGAATCATGCTTTTTCTTGGACATAAGAAATCAAAGATATATTCAAAAACTAACTTTCTGCTGCATCTTATATTTGCCAAGTTAGATCAGTACAATAGATAGCTGGAGACTTTAAGAATGTAAGATATTCACAGAGTTCTAATTAGATCTTCTAGTAAGAGCTTCTTTCTAGTGCAAAGGTTAATTTTTAACACGTGAAGCCCAAGTGTGCTTGTAACTCAGTTGAGAAGCTTTTGAGGAGGTTTGGAGAAATGAGTCTGCCTCACATTATCTGATATATAGGTTATACAGAAGGTCCTCTACCTTTGACCAATTTGGGACCAGAATTTCCATTGCTAAATGAGGCAGTCATTAAGCAAGTTGCACCAGATTTTACAAACTTTTTGCTCTGGACATTAAACAACTTCAGCTCTCCCCATTGTTTTTGCCTGTTAGAAGCCCGCTGGGAAGATTCAAATGGCAGCATCACGTGCTCCTGGGGTGCTGTAACTGTCACAAATGCATGCCGGTTGCTAAATGTCCAGATTTTGTGGGGACACTGCAAGGATCATAAATGAGAGGACCAATAGTAAGCCACTTCTTCAGCACTGTCATAACTTCGAACGATCATTAAATGATTGGTTGTAAGTCAAGGATTATTTGTATAAATAGAGAAGCAGCATTTTGGAATCATCTTTTTTATTAGGGCAGAATTTTTTTTAAAAAATGCTGTAAAAGCACTTAATGCAAAACACCATACTATTATTGTGCAAGATATGCTGTTTCCAAGGTGGCATCTGTGGAAGTCAAATCCCCAATGCTTAATTTCTTGGAAAATAATGCTGTGGATCATAGCACTCTAGAAAAAAAGGCTTTTGACTTGAAAAGCCTTACCCCAATGGGGAATTTCTGCTGCTTATTTAGAATTAGAGGAAAGGAAATGCTTGGGGTGTTTTTAATCTATTTGTTCTTCTTCTATTCCAAGGTTAAGCTCTGGCACTGAAAATTGAGTCCTGGCATTCCACTAAAATGGAGAAAAATGTCTAGGACTTGGCATGGTTAATGGTTAAAGCCGAGTGAGGTTAATGCCAACTGGAACTGACTTGCTTGGAAGTTATTCCTCATCAAATTAGCATGTGGATTTATAAGTGTTAAAAAGACAGCAGAACCCATCTCCCAATCTCTCTCTCTCTTAAATCTCTTAAGTGGGAAAAAGAAAAAAACTGAACCTTTCTAGGATTTTTCTTTGATAATTATTTGGATATCAAAATACAGTTGGGGTGTCTCTCTCTCTCTCTCTCTTAAGCAAGGTCAGTAGAAAAAGAATGTGTGAATGGATTGCAATATTGCAAATCAGCATCAGTTTAAGTAAAAAAAAAATACATCCAATTTTGTAACTGCCAGTCCTGTTTGGCTATACGATGCCCTTGTAGGGGGAAAGAACTTTAATTTTTAATTTAATTTCTACAATTTGTTTGATGATGATGAAGATGGCGATGAGGAGGAAGAGGAGAAGAAGTAATCATTCTAGGTGTCTGATCATTAAATTGCCCATTAATGAAATCACTCTGGGCTGCTCTACAGTTGATTGATTAGAAGTTAAGTTAACTTAAAGTTCCTTCACATAATTCTCCTACTGCAGAATGTGAAGCTATTCTTGGCATGCACCTTAGAAGATTCCTTTATGAGGCGCCAATAGGACACACTGAATGACAACAGTATTCTCAGCCTCTCTATTGGGAATTAGAGCAGTTGAGCTACATATTAATCAAGCTACACATACCATTTTATTGATCTATATTGTGTCTTTAACAGTAGACTGACATATTTAACATATCTCATATCTGCAGGGATGTGAATAAATAGTAGGAAACTTCACCTGCTGTATCTGTGGCAAATTTGATTTCCATCCATATGATTTACTCATTTTCACATGTATGTTGCCGATCCTCTTAGCTGCAGGTGCCATTGAAACAAACAGAATGTACACATTTATACTACATATCACAAGTCAAAGGATGTAATTCCTGTTGTTAGACAGTGTATATCTGCCACTACAGAGACTGAGTTTCAGAGGAGCATATGCTTTTCCATAGCACAATGGTTGCACCGCATAAAGATAAACACAAATGTTAAGGACCAAAGTTGCTCAAAAGTAAGCAAGTGTCCACTCTCCTTGGATACATGGGCGTGAAATGTTCCAACTGAGATGGATTTGTAAGCAGCTGATCTTGACCCTCAGGTTAGATTCTTCCACCGAAAGAGAGAGTGAAACAAGACTTTTAGGGGTAGGAAATAGCTGAAGCATCATTTTTTTTCCTTCTGTTTCAACCTACCAGATTTGGGCAGTGGGACCAGAGAATGTTTCTCATCCTAAGAATTCCCGCTCCTTAAGATTTTGAAGATTATTATGGAAAGCCGTAACAAAATATATGTTTGTATATTAGTGGAAGGCAGTTAAATTCTCAGTGTAATGGACATTTTTGCAAATCTGTCTGTCTATAGACTGTTCATTGTTTAATTTCTATATTTCCTTTTGCTTTGCACTGTAATAAAATCCAATTTGGAAACAGATATGGCTAATCTCTGCAGAAAATAGTGGCTGGTTCAGTAAATGAAATGCATTATAATTGCAACAATTCTTATTTATGGTCTATTATGGGGCACATGTTCTCTGTAATGCACTAACGGCTACATCTTGTGCTTTGCAAAAGAAAACAAAAGAAAGAATAAAGAAAAAAGAGGGAGGGTTAAATACGTAATTTTAAAGGTTAAAATATTCATTATTATTTTTTTTTAAAAAAGACCAACATAGTCTCAGGAATATTCTGAGGTACATAAAACAAGAGAAAATAAGTCAAGTTTTTAAGCCACAAAATGTACTACATACTGCCATACTAGGTTCAATTAATTTAATAAAATAGACTATACATATAGACTCTGAACAATGTATTGCTTTTACCCAAGCAGAACTTATGCTTAAGTAAGCGTGATATAGCTTAACCATTCTTCTACCGGCAAGCTCTTTTTTAAACTTTGGATATTTAAAAAAATCAGTGCCATTTTAGAATAGAGAGGTTTAATTTATTACACGAGGGAGGGGAAAAAAAAACTTTTGGCACCAGTAACAGAAAAGAAACCATTTCAAGGGTCAACATCTGGTTGATCAAAGGAAAAACTAGGGAGCGTCAACAAGTCTTTCTTTGGAGTTGGAGTTACTGACAGACTGTCTGGGAGGGTGGAGTCCCCTGCATCCACAGAATCCTTCGAGTCCCAAGATGGAGCACGTCTTCTCAAGCAAACATCTGCACTGGAAGGGGACGCAGTGCAAGACCTCCTTAGTAGCAACCTCTGTTCCTCAGGAGGGTCTATGGATATACACGGGGGACTCATTTTTTTCTTTGGCCGTGTCCCTTGCAAGCCTTCCATTTCACTGAAGACCTGACTGATGAAGCCAGAAGAACTAGATGTGGAATGATGCTGGGGGCTGTTTTCCATGGAACAAATTTCTATGGAATGTCTCCTTTGATCGTCTAACCACGATGATGGTTTTTTAAGAAGACCTTGTGTATCTACACTGTAGCATTTCTTCAGGTCCTTCAAAGGAACATTGCCACTGTTGCCTACATTTCTCTTAGGGGTCTCAGGCTGGACCACTGATGAGGCACTCATGGCTGAACAAGTTCCAGAAGTAAAACAGCTGTTTATTTCTGATACTTCTTGGTCCATTGGATCCCCAGGTAGTTCTTGAAGAGAGTCTGTACAGGCACACAAATCTGGAACATGCTTGGAGATGTTATATTGATTATGGGAATGTTGCTGAGTGTGAACACTTGATCGGACCCAGCTGGCAGGCTCTCTTGCTCCCGAGGATGTCAAAGTGATAGAAAGGTCCTCGGTTGATGGGGCTGACAAATTGGAATCAGAGAGCTCACTCACCTCAGTGTGGAGGTTCTCTCTGCTTTCTGAACTAGGAGTATCCGAGGAGTCATTCTGTATTGCCATCTGTGCCAGGGATGGGGGGGGGGGGTATCAAAGAATCAGATGGGAAGAAACACATGGAAGAAGTATTAGTGCAGGCAAGGTGCAAGATTTAAATGGCATATTAAAGCTGGCAATTGAATTTTAGCTTTTGTGTGTGAGGGACTGACAACTCCAGCAAGCTCCAGTTTCAAGGTTTCTTTATCAGCTGCTCTCATAATGCCCTGCAATCACATTATCTATTTTGCACATGAGGTTTAGGTTGTATGCTCTCTAATTCATGACATTCTGCTTTGGGAGTAGTTGGGAACTCTTGCTATTTTTTAGATGTGCTCAGCCTAAAATTCCCTTTTCCTTATGCTCACAAGAACTGTGATAGAACTGCCTTCAGAATAATCTATATGGCATATCTGGCTCAGAGCCAAGACGTTCCTGCAGAAGACTTTACGGGACAACCTAAGCAGTTGTTTTACTCTTGGGAATGCCTCTTTTAGGCATTCAGGAGCTTAAGTCACATTGATGCTGAATAAAACATGCAAATCAGTGCTCAGTGGAGTATATTACAATAGGTTTGCCTAGTACAGTAGAGCTTGTTTTTTCAAGGCATGAAATCATCCCTAGGAAAGCTTTTATACAACAGGGTCCAGTTCATGGGAGAAGATGGAAATACGTTGATAAGGGTAGGGAGTTGTTGAATTTATTTTTTAAAAAAATCAGTGTTTTTAATTAAAGCTTTTACATGTTTATTTGTATTGCTAACAGAGAAAGAACAATTTTTGGCTTGATTATGCGTTCAGATAAATAAAAGCATGTTGCTACAGTGTTACAAAACTAAAAATGCCGCATAATATTTTTATTTGTTGAAATGGCACTTTTATGTGTCCATGGAGACTGCTGTTAAGGTAAATAAATAATATTTATTAGATTTACTATAAAGGTGAGTTTTAATATACTCACAGAAGATTTGTCAATATTCTTAGAAGGCTCTTGTTTCTACCACTGTAAGTCATATTTACAGAGGTAAATCTGTCTGCCCCCAGAAAAGCAAAGGAAATACAAGAGAGTCTTTAGACCTGCAGGAAGTTATTGAGATGGTTGGGTTCCCACTGGAACTGCTTGTAGAGGGGAGGTGGTTATAATTCTCCCAGTGCTAAACCTGGCAAATCTGCCCCTTGTCAATTTTGGAGCTAGGACTGGACAAGGACTTGAACTCAACATGTCTGCAACTACTAAACTTGGGTTTAGTACCTAGCATTTTGAGAAGTTTTAAAGTTGAAGGATGCAGTAGGTGTGAATACTCGCATTGGGCTGACACTTAGAAGAAAAACACTTTTGCAGTGCACTGGCAAGGAACAACTCCCTACGCAAGGCTTTTCTGTTCTTGAAAATCAGCAGATTGACTCTCACCAAGGAATTCATCACTAATTGCCAGGGCAGCACCAAGAAAAGAAAGGGAAATTGAACGGCAGGAGATTCTGGAACTATAAAAGAAGAACTGCCTGATGTACAAACCGGATTCAGAGAGAAAACACACTGCTGACGTCCAGAAGGCAATGGAAAAAGCAAGGGAATTCCAAAACGACATCTAACTTTGCTGCCTGTATTATATACAGAGTTTTTAGTCTCTATATAAATTCCAATAAATTGTGGATGGCCCTTAAAACAATAAGATATACTGGGCTACCTCACCTGCCCCAATGAAGAATTGGTCTGCAAACAATAGCTATAGTGGAATATAGAACATACGCCTGGTTCAGAATTGGGAAATAAATTATGTTATACTTTATTTATTTATTAAATGTATTGGTCATTTCTCTTACCACAGGGTAACTCTGGGCAGATGTGTATAAAAACCTAAAACGTTCGGGTTTAAATATATACAGTGAATCAGAGGATTTTAAAAATGAATGCTCCGTTGAAATCAGAACATTTCCTCCTGGGACTGATGGATAAACAGCTAGAAAAAAAAAAGTAATGGAACACAATTTTCATATATGATAACTGCAGCAAATTATTGTATGCACAAAGATGAAAATACTTGCCAATACCTACAGTGGAGGAATGGTTGGTAAAGATGACAGAACTTGCCGACTAAGCTGACTTGTCAGATTAGAGAAAAGACAATATCTAAATTATTGATGACTGGAAATCCCATACGGACTTTTTGCATGAAAAACAAAACAAAATAAAAAAGGAGCTTGCAATTTATAGTTCTGATTATTAGGCAGGATCAGTGATTCTCAGTCTTGACAACTTTGAGATTTGTGAACTTCAAATCCCAGAATGCTGGCTGAGGAATTCTGGGAATTGAAGTCCACAAATTTTAAAGTTGCTAAAATTGAGAAACAGTGGGACAGATGATAGAAAGAAGAGAGTCATGAGGTAACTTTACAAAGACAAATTAAAGTATAATTGGTACTTATAACTGGTGTGAAGAAGATTGGAAGCCACTTCTTTATACCTTTTTTATATCTTTTTCTTTTCTACTTTATTTCTTAAAACTTTCAATTATATGTGTTTGTGTTTATGAGGGTACATGCACACGTTTACATGTACACGTAGTGGACTAGAAGACATATGAATTTGAACTAAAATTGGTGGCAGAAAAAAACAAATGAGGAAGGTTTAATGGAATCTCTTGTTGAACATGAAATAAGAAAGTACAAATCCTGGTCTGCAGTTCAATATTAAAAAAATAAGATTATGTCAACAGACATTACAACCAACGAAAACATGCAGAGGAAAAAACAAAGTAGGTGCAGATTGTACTTTTCAAAAATTCATAAGGGTGACGATTGTAGTGAAGAAATAAAGACCTTTTATATGCAAGAGACTACAACTGTTTTAGGCAAAAATGCAGAGACACCACACTCACAACAGTATCAAAACTATGGTCTTCAGTTGAAACATATGGCTGTGATAGCTGAAACATTAGAAAGATTAAATGAAAACAATGAGTTTTGATGCTGGAAAATATTGTTGAGAATATCTTTGGACCACAAAAAGAACAACTAGATGATGTAAAATCAGACAGTTCATTCAAAGAATTAATACTGAAACTAAACCTTAGATACGCAATCCAAAGATGTTTGGATAGATCAAAGGCAATAGAAAAGTTCCACAGAAGAGAAGGAAGTGAGATGACAAAGAAGAAGCTTACAAGAACTCAAAAGAAACAAGTAGTGACAATCTATCAGCCCACTAAGATTGAATGAGCCAAAGAGAAAGTAAATAAAATTCAGCTCAACAAAGAAATAATAAGAAACAAAGAAGTGAGAAGGAAAGAAGAGAGAGAAGAAGGAGACGAAAAGAGCAAGAAATATTATATAGAGTAAAAATGTGAACTTTTATTTTATTTTATTTATTTATTTTATTTTTTGTATCACCAATACTTCATGTATAATCAGTTAGAGCAAGAATAAAACAGCAGACATGAAATGAACTCATAGTAAATATTATAAATAAAATAAAATAAAAATTATAAATAAAATTAACTTTCTCCCTCAGGTCTGTCAGCTGCTTCACAATGCTGAGGGCAGGACTGCCCTCTCCTGGTTTAAAACAAAGGTGCATAGAAGAAATGAACTGGCCAAAAGGACAGAGGGAGGCTCCTATTGATGGGGTATGACCTCTAAAACTGGTTCTCCCTTTATTAGAGATGTGCCAATCCTGGACTGCCTGAGCCATCTCATAGTCTAAGTGACAGTGCTCATCTCCATTTCTTAGTTGAGGGAGCCAGTGTTGTTCAAAGATATTTTTGAGGCACATGGAACGCTGCTACCTTCCTACCAAAGTGGTACCTCTTTATCTACTTGCATTTGCATGCTTTCAAACTGCTAGGTTTGGCCAGAAGCTGGGGCAGTAATGGGAGCTCACTCTGTCGCATGATGCTCTGGTTTCGAGCCTGGTTTGTCAGCTATCCGGCAACTTTAATAGCTGAGCCATTGTACCCCATTTTATACACTGTATATACAGTGTATAAAAAAATCTTAATAAATTGGTACACCCATCCTCCAGGGATATCTCTGTATCACTTCCATGCCCCCTTGCAGCTTTTCCACCCTGACATAGGGTATATATATATTTGGGCCGATAGAGTGCATTGTAAAAAAAAACCAAGGCATATATGTATGTATGTATGTATGTATGTATGTATGTATGTATGTATGTATGTATGTATATATGCATGTATGTATTATGCATGCATGCATGCATGTATGTATGTATAAAATAAGGTACGGTTGGCTGAAATAACGAATTCTTCAGGAGGCTTCTCAATCTAGCTTCTCATTGTTGATATATTTTGCAATCCATGGATGATTAGAGGACTAATTGCTCTGGAGATTTTTAGCCTTTCAGTTCAATAGATTAATCAATCACATTTGGAAAAGCACCCAACACACCTGGTATTATGATATGGAATAATCACTCAATTGAGCCTCTCTCAAAACATCCTTCCCCTTGAGAGCTTAACTCCCTTGGAGAGGGGAGAGTCTGTGATAAGCGGGAAATAAAGGGTCAGGACCAAGAAGATGTATAATATTTCAAGGTAGTAAAATAGCAGTACTTCTGGTTTCCTTTAAAGTACCTCCAGTGTAGTCAACTTTCCACAAAGCAAAAACATATTGATTATAATCTCAGTGCTAAAAGTAGTTATCAATTTATTCTACTATCTTTCTCTTCATAGTGACCCTGGAGCTCCTTGTCTGTGCACTGCTACAAGGAGAGAGAAATAAGTTTGGAAAAACGGGGGGAGGGTGTTATCCCAACACTACACTGTGTACCTGGGACAAGCTGAAACTTTTCTCAGTGAATGGGAAATGAGAATGGATTTTGCATGGCTGTTAGATGGCCTTCCTAGTTTGGGAATACACAAGATCTAAAACACAAGATGTTACACTATTTGTAGCATCAACTCTTGGTCAATTCTGCCTTGAAATACTTTGTGAAAATTAGCCTTATACACAACGGAGGCTTGATGCTTAGTAACATTAAGTCTTTGGCTGCTAATTATAATGGCCAAGTAGGCAGCTAATGAGACTTCTTATCTTTGGGGTACTGATTAAAAAGGTTTGGACTGTTAGCTTTTTAACAACAAGAAGCACATTCAGGAGCTGGAGCCATGAAATCGATCTGATTGTTTGTTATTATACCCTGGACTAGGCCAGCATTGATTTAATAGACTTTAGGAATTTAGCCTGCCACTTTAATACTCCATATTAATGTAAACAGTTGCCTTGGAAAAAAATGCACTTTATTTGGTTAGCAGGGAAAAGGAAATAATGGTTTTAAATAAACTGAGCTCTGAAGTAATCTTAAATTTGTATAATATGCTATTTGGAGAAAATGACAGTGATCTTTTGCATTTAAGATTACAATTTTTCAATCCTAAATGCAAAAGATCTAAATTAAAAAAAACATAGATAAAAATTGTAGAATTTTCAAGAGAGTTCCACTGTCAAGCTGAAAGGCTGGCATCATAAAATGCTTGGGCCAACGAGACTTAAAAATTCATTTAATGTAAAGAATAGTCAACACACGGAAAAAATAAATTTCTTAAAAATAATATTGTGATAAATTGATGCAGTTATGAAGGTAGATGTTCTATAGGAGGCACAACTACATAGCTAGGGGACATCAAAAGAGGGAATTAGAAGTAGTCAGCAGACTAAAACAGCATTTGAATAAATTTGGGTGTAGTCTGCCAGCAAGACTCAAGAACAAGGACTGGATCAGGATAAAGTTATCACTTCTTGCCAGATATTAATGCTTTTTTCATGAAGTCATACATGTGACTTGCACAGCCCACATTGGCCAACACAGTTACTATGGTCCCGCTAGATGTATGTTCTACTCATCAGAGAGAGAGGAGCCTGGACACATTATTTCAACCTTTCTAATTTTTTTCTGCTTCTTATATAATTTTGCAATCACATCAGATTAAGCCTGCAGCTTGCACGTTGAATGAAAATAAATGAGAGGACCACCTTGCTAGCCCAGCTTACCTGTCTACGAAGTAGCCGTTCTGCACATGGAGAACGTGCAGGTGGAGCAACTTTGGGTTTGCTTTCCCAGTCAAGATTGTATTGGGGCTTGAGAGGGTGGAATCGATTTCTGGCAATGTGTAGAGCAGCATCAATACTCGCAGGCTGAGACTGCACCGACGTAGCTGACCCTGAGGAAAGGACAGGAAACTTGAGAAATCACATCTAACAGATTCCGTTCCTTAATTTCATTTCTAATGATCAAATTCAGATTGTCTCTAAAGTAGCAAATCCTCTGAAGTAGTGAAGAAACTTAATCAGCAAGTCTCTATTTGGGGACTTACTGGTATGGCTAATGCAGGACAAGAGCAGTGGTGGCTGGCTGTATCAACAGTAAAGGCATTATGTAGGCAGGCTTCAGACTCTAGAAAAGCTGGAAACTCTGGAATAAGAAGCGGCTAAGAAATGGTCTAAGACAGGCATGTCAAACTCGTGACGTCATGTGACGTGTGACGTATCAGAGCTTTTTCTCCATTGCCGGCAATGGGGTGGGCACAGTTTTGGGATGACGTGTCTGGCCCACGGGCCAGCAGTTTGACACCCCTGGTCTAAGAGAACACATCCACAACTGAATAGAGATCTCATCTCTGCAGCTACTTTACACATGTGGTGTGCTTGATTCCTGGCATATACAGATAATCCTCAGTTTACAACAGTTCATTTAGTGACCGTTCAAAGTTACAACAGCACTGAAAAAAGTGACATGACCATTTTTGACACTTGTGACCTTTGTGGCGTCCCCACAGTCACGTGATCAAAATTTGGATGCTTGACAAACTGGTTCGTATTTAGCACGGCTGCAGTGTCCTGGGATCAAGTGATCATTTTTTGTGACCTTCTGACAACCAAAGTCAATGGGGGAGACAGATTCATTTAATACCCAGTTGTAAATAACTTTACAACTGCAGTGATTCACTTAACAACTGTGGCAAGAAAGGTCGTAAAATGGGGCAAAGTTCACTTAACATATGTCCCACTTAGCAACAGAAATGTTGGACTCAATGGTGGTCGTAAGTCGAGGGCAACAAGTACTTCCAAAGCATTTCCATAAATTGGCTCTGGAGGAGATGGGAAGACCATTCAGATTGGGGTTGTGTTTTGTTTTTTGAATGTGTATGAGAAGAAGTAATTCTACTCTGGGAATTCAAGCCTATAATCTAGTAATACATGCTCTCTCTCTTAGAATCTTGTTTTTGATAAAAGGAAAAAAAATCACCATTTAACCAATAGTGATAAGGCATTAGGAAGGAACTGCCACAAAATTCGAAACTCTGTTTCTGCTAATGCATTCTCACATGGGGAAAACAAATAATTGTGGTGACTATATCTTGATTAAGTGACTGCAAAATTAATATATCCGAGTCTCTAATGTTATCCAGAACCAGACAAGAGTTTAACCACAGAAAACGAACCCAGAGGGATATACAGATATACAATTATGCCACTTAAGCATCTGGCACAGTGTAGATGGCAGCCTCCCAAAAGTGGGATGAGGAGAGAGAAGATGGATAGATTCTATTCAGAATAAATATGAGACTAAAAAGTATTATTTAGCTTATGAGTAAATTTTAGATTATTTTTAATAGTTTAACATGATTGAATTTATATTATTTTTGGTATTATTGTTTGATTATATTATTATTTTTGGTTTTTAATTTGTTAATATTTATTTTGAAAAGGAGTTAAAGAATATTATGGATTTGATTGTTAGTAGAGTTGGGTAATGTTAGTTAGATTATGATTGCTTATTTGTAACCCTGTAATCAGCTCTGGGAAGTGGGGGGGGGAGGGATTTGGATTATATATTGTAAAAAATTTTTAAAACTTTTAATTAAAAAAAAAATGGGATGAGGAGTGATGGTGATTCCCAGGACAGTTGCACTTTCTTTCAGGAAACAGGCAGCAGAGATGTATTGCCATTGCCTTCCCTCATCAAAGATGTCTTTGAATTTTCAACATATCAGTGCCCAAGTATAGAAATAATTGGAAAGGAATGGCCAGCGGAGAGGAAGTAGCCAGCGGGGCATAGATGTGATGGTTTGTTGTAGAGAAACAAACAAGCCCTTCCTTTTCTGACGTGTCCATTTTGTTCCAGATCAGAGCTTTTTCTCCACAGATCAGAGTTTTATTTTCAAATATTCCACACTTTTCCAAACTAGGACTTTTCTAAAACAGAGCAGTACTCTTTTTTTGTAAATTCCCAATTGAATTATGCCTCTGGTTTTTGTACATTCGTGGAAAGTTCAAAACAATCACATTATCTACTAAGTTCTTTAGGTTGCAAGTGAAATCACCTTTGCCACGTCTAATAAATAACACATTATAGGAAGAGGCATGATGTGGGGCAATCCCATATTCTTTTCCCCAGTTTCTGATTTATAGAGAAAAGGTGGATACGAAGGGCGAGTGGATATAGGTTTCCTGTGGATGCTCCCACTACATTCACTGGCTACTTTCTTATTCCCAGATCTAGGATTGTAACGTTTGCAGCACACAGAACCTTATAAAACTTTTCCCTACAAGATCCAACACGATCTTTTTGTGGGGAAAAAAAAGCAATTAGAAAAAGTAATTCATTGTATCTGAACCATCTCCCACAGAAAGAACCTCATTTGTCCTGGACTGTTTCCCAGAATATCTCCCCTATTATGCAGGATTATTGAAACAAATAACTTTTGCAAAGGCCAAGTTTACTTAAACACAACATCCTTTTCCAGCTTGAAATCTCATGTTAATCTTATTAACATATGGTGATATATGGCCTTAAGTAACCGCATAGCACTTTAGAGAATTGCATATTAATAAACAGAGGTCACTGCAATCATTTCTGAAAGTCAACTTTTTCACAGATGCTAAGTGTCAAACCAGAGGTCGCTCTGTTTTGGTCAGACGTCAGGCTTCATCGCTGGCAGGACAGTGTGAGGGTTGTGGGTCCCCTATCTCTTCATTTGTTAGACCAATACACTAGGCTAACAAATGACAAAGAAGTGTAATCCTCTCCCGCATAACTTTCAGCCAGTTTCTTTTTTCATTTCTTAATTTCTTGAATGTTCTGCAAACTATAGTTCCATACCCTGAATGGAACTAAAGATAAAGTTTTTGCATCTTGCAGATGTGTAAAGGTACTATAAACAGTTAAAATGAAGAAAAAATGATAATTTGTAATCATGAAATAGCCTGATTTCTGATTCATATGCTTTGATTTCCTACTTGAGGAAGAACTCAAAGAGCCCCTAATTCATTTCTGGGTTATGAAACATACATAGCTGTTTTCTATTTGGCCAAAGGCTTGCAATTGCCTTTATAAATAGAGAGAAAAAAGTTTGCAGAAAAATATTCACAAAGATTGCACAGTCTAGTTAGAAGCCTACATTCACTGACCCCCCTCCCCATTTTACACTATATAGATTTGATTCCAGGTGAACAATCTATCTCATTTTTTTCCTGAAAGCCCTGATAAGGGTCTGCCTGTGGTCAGTGCTCAATCACATCTGAACCGTATTAATTGCTTTCTATTGCAGGCATGGATTCCCAAAATTGAATGCTCCCTCTTTGGCCCATAGGCATGGATGCACACGTGTGCCCATCCTCACCATTCTTTTCATACAGGCTAGTCTTAGAGAGCCAGCTTAATGTAGTGGTTAAGGCACCAGGCTACAAACGAGGAGACTGTGAGTCCTAGTTTGGTTTTAGGCATAAAACCAGATGGATGACCTTGGGCTAGTCTCTCTCTGCCAACCCTAAAAAGAAGAAGGCAAAGGCAAACCAATTCTGAAAAACCTTGCCAGGCATCTAGGCAATCTGAAGGAAAAGGTATAGGAAAGGTTGGGAGCCACTGTTCTAGAAGAAATCCATCTCCCACTGTATTTCAAGGATGGCAACTTGTTTTTTGTGAATGCTGAAAGAAAAAGACCTATTCTGTTTTGGAAGCAATTAAAAGGCATATGATCTCTTTTTGGGGGCAGTCTTCACATTGATCCTTGGACATTTTTGTTTTTCCAGGAATTTGAGGACACCAGTTTGACGTTTGGGGTACCATGTCCCAAGTATTTTGGGAAAACAGAATATTGTTTTGATGTAGGTTCTACTGGGATTTTAGCTGCTGCATTTATTATGATTTTTATTGTTATATGAAATATGTTGCTACTTTTTTATTTTATCCTGTATTGCCAAGAAATTTATACACTGCCTAGGGAACTGTGATTCATAGTTGGTTTATAAATGTCATTTATATTCATATGCAAGTATAAATTATGGATACTCTAGTATTTTTAAAAAATATATGCTATATCTAGATGTTAGTTCATCTTCATTATAAAACTTCAGTTTTCTGTTGTATTACCAACCAGATTGATACAGCATAAGATTCTAGTGGTTTTTTTTGTTTAGATTTTGTTGTTGTGCTTCCCTGAAATCAAGCTTGATTCCTTGATTTTGACATTCTAGACATGGATAATTTTATAAACTCTTAAGTTATGCTATGTTGAATACTGCATGTGATTTTACATTATTTTATGCTAAGCTAAAGTGTCAAGGTATCCTTGCTTTGCTTAATAGCTATAGTTTCTGCATTTTTATTCCTGCTGCTAAACAGCAATTAATATGCAAATTTTAATATCTTTCTACTAACCTCTTCACATATTGTACCTTTCTCAAGTGCTGGGTGAAGACACTTGACAATAAATTCTCCTTGATCCTAAAACAGGCTTTCTGAGAGAGAGAGATTAGGAGAGAAACTAGTCTCAAACCATCCCCTAGGATTCTTGTTAAGGAAACCTTAGTTCTTCTTCCGGGGACTTTAATAAGATTGCTTTTCATTGCAGAGAGCAGAGAAGTGATGGTGCAATTTCAACTCTTTAGAAAAACGAATACTGTATAGATGTTGTCCTATCACTTCACATTACTGCTAAGGGAGAGCAGTACTCAGCCTGAAACAAGTTGGAGTGGCTAATAAAGGGCTGCCACACAAAATAAACACTCCTGCATCACTCCCTATTCTCATCCTGTAATATTGTTGGAGATGCAATCTCATTGTATTGTATATTCTTCTTCCCCACCTATTCCACCGCTCTGTGTTTGGTCAGGCAGAATTTTCAGCAGTGCCACAGCAAGATTCACAGCTTTTCATTGTGTTAGGAAGAGGGGTGGCAATGTCACATGGGAGCCTTAGTTTGTCTTAGCATCCGTTGTAAATTAATCTAACAAGTTTGAGTTCCAATTTACACGTCTTAAAAAAAAATGTATACCTAAGATATTTTACAATGGAGAAAACAAGTGAAGACATGAAATGACTTGATGAGTGTACTTACAGCAGTGAAGGACAAGTTTAACGATCCAAAGATTTGAGCAAGGAGCAATCCCTAGAAAAGTTCAGGTTCTTTTAAAAAAATAAGGGCCTTGCTCTACGTTACATGGGTGTATGATTCATGGAAAAAGCTGTTTCAGGTGGGCCAATCTGGAGTGGTAAAACAACGTGAGGCAGGTGATCTGTCACTCTTCCCTGGTCTAAATAATTGCCATGCTATTTCATATAAAACTTGGTAGGAGAGGTTTTAGCAGAGAAGCAACAAGAAATTGAGCATTCTTGCCAGCCCAGCTTGTTTCTTGTCCTCATCATCCATTTCCATTTCAAGTCAGCTGGGATTTGTATGGATTTATGCACAAGGCCCATTCAATTCGACAATCCGGAATTTCAGTCTCAGCACTAGACTTCCATACACCTTGCAAAATATATCCAAGGTTTAAAAAAGGCAAACCAACTAACACTTCCATAAAGCTCTACCTGGGAAGCCACATTTGTATGGGTTTTTTTTTTTTTTGAGGCAAATGCTTTGTACCTGACTGAGATTTTTGATGAGTTGAGTTTTTTTCTCCCGAGGAAGTATCATGGGGGCCAGTATCTGGAGCCTGAAACATATAGCTGTCATTTGGCAGAGAATGGGTGCGGCCCACAGAAGTCTTCCCTACTCTCAGCAGATCCTGATTTGATGAGAGAATCAGGGGGTCATCATTAATGGAAGGAATATCAGTCTAAAAAAAGAAAAAAAAGAGAAAGAGAATGTCACAGAAGTGGAAAAAGCATGTGTGTACTGGAACTGTGGTGACAACCACTGCAACAGACATGAGATGTGGTGAGCATGCAATTTATTAGGCTGTACAACTTCTAGTATAACCAAATGAAATTGCACACATGAGTTGACCAGGAAGCAATAACCCTACATTTTTACTATTACTAAAGCACCAACATAGAATGAACCACATTAAAAACAAAATATACAATACAGGGGAACAGGGAAACAACATTACAACAATAAACCATGACTATTTCGGGATTAGTTGAACAAGCATCATGCCTCAAGGCTTGGTTAACAGTTGCATGCTTTGCAAAACTTTAGTCTTTTAAATGAGTAATACAAATCTTTTCAATCTCTTCCTGCTCAAAGGAAGCTTTTGCAGGAATCAGCTCATAATTCTAGCTAATTTTTTTTAACAAACAGGGAGCTACCTTGATCTATGGAAAGTATATTCTGTTTGTGACCTTTATTTTGTATTGCTAAAAATAAGCCTGCATATACAAGCAGAATTACAAAGGAACATTGATAATGTATTTTCAACAATAAGGAAAATATTTTAAAAGAAAAAAAAATCTAAATAATAAAAATGTACTGTTACAAAAGTCTCTGGTCTCATTCCAGCTGAAATATGATGTTAGATTTTTTAATCTAATTCACAGTGAAACAAAATATAAATAGAGTACCTATTATACAGTATGTTTAGCCAATAGTTTTTAATTTCCCTAACACATAGAACGAATTTAACTCTTGTTTTCAATTAAGGATTTAGATATTAGAATTATCTATAGCTAATGATTCAGATAAACACAGTTAAATGCATTGTACACTACTATCAAGTCTTTTTTATCTGTTAAATTAGATGATATCCTAATTCAATTAAAATCAGTGGAATCTTATATAAATGATCTTCCCCTCCCTACTGCAGTGATATATTTCATTTTATGGCAAATACTGGGCTATGCCCAGACAGCTTCAATGAATGTATGTGCAAGTTGTGGAAATTCATTTGACAAGATAAAATTGACATTAATTACGGTTTGGATAAATCTATACCAGCTGCTCCAGCTGTTGTCTACATATAGATTTTTTTAAAAAAACTTTTATTATCTTTGCTTTTCTGTATGCATTTGCTCTTCTAACAATACTGTCAGCCTGAGCAGATACAGGTTACTTCCAAATAAGGCTTTCATCACTTTGCCTTCAAAACCATTCCTACTTTTTCCCATGGTTTCATTTCTTTTAGTAGAAATAGAAATCTAAAATCTGTTAAGATAGGATAGATGGAATAGTTGCAGTTTGTCATTCGGTTTGGCATCTAGAACAGGGGTGTCAAACTCAATTTCATTGAGGGCCACATCAGCATTGCGGTTGTCCTTGGGGTGGGAGGGTAGGTGTGGCCAGGGTGGGCACGGCCTGCTGGGTGAGCGTGGTTGGAGTGGGTGTGGCCTACTGGGCGGGCATGGCCAGCTCTACATCGCGTCAAGAGTGCCTGTGGGGGCAGGGGTGGGATAGAAGGGGGTGGGACCAGGGCAAGCGCCAAGGCATGGTCCACTGGAAGAGCCTGCTGAAACCCCTCCCCCAGAGCCCATCAAGCCGATATGTGAAGTAAGTGAGGGCCATTTGCTAGCCACTTCCAGGCGATGGTGCATTTCTTCATTCCTCACAAAGGGTGACACCTCCCCAGCACGCACCCAGGGGGCAAGACCAACGTGGCAGGGGCCGGTCCCTTGCTGTTTACAGACAGCCTTGTGGAGCTAAAACTGAATGCGTTTCAGCATAGATGGCCACCACAAAATTGTACATTGGCTCCCAGGCGGCCAGGGCCGGGGCCAAGGCAGCAGGGGCCATTTCCTCACTGTTTCCAGGATGGCTTCGTGGGCCACAGGAAACCACATCGCGGGCCATATCTGGCTCCCGGGCCTTGTGTTTGACATGTCTGATCTAGAATGTTCTACTTTTTGAAAAACCTTTAGGATACTTCAGAATAGACTTACTACTCATTACTAACTTAAGACTCATTAATTTCAATGAGATATGATACGATTTAGTCTGGATCCAACCCAATCTTTTAGAAATTTACTGATTTTTCAAAAGAATATGAACGCACACATGTGTTCTTAGATATTTAACTTTGCCAAATTATAGAACTGTAAAATAATTGGATACTGTACAGTCTGAAACAACAAGAGTAAAAGTATCCATGGAGATTAGTAAATTAGTCAACATAAATAAACTGTTAATAATAATTACAATAAGCTCTTGGGTCTTGTTGGAGTAAGAATGACCTAATAGCTTAGATGAAAAGCAATAGAGAATGTTTTCCATTGTTGTATTTAAGCACCAATCTTAATTAGTAGCAGTTTTATGAAGAATTCACTTCTTACAACTAAATCATACTGAGAAAACACAGTGGGATAAGGTGTCAGATTAAGTCTAAATATTATAAACCACACATAATATTTGCTAATTAAATACACTGTAAAACACAGTTGGTGCAGTTATACCCATAGTTCCCTAAGAAGAAATAAAACTCATTTTATATTTGTGATATATCTGAAACTGGCCTTAAAACAAAAAATGATGAATTTTGTAACATACTGAACTCTTTCAAAATATTTTTAAAATTAAAGGGCCACATTTTAAAAACATAGCTTTTCTCAATTGTATTAATAGTCCTGAAAGGTTTTTTATATATTATGTAATAATATAAAAGCAATTCACATTAAAACAATTTGAATTATTCATATGGAAGGTATGCATTCTTAAATAATATTTAAATTTGTTTACAAGCTTCTACAGTTTGTCTGAAGTTAGAGGTCTTAATATTTTCGTCAAGTGAATGGATTGACTTGTGATTTGATACAAGTAATCTATGGGACTTTAGAGTTTTCCGGAGCCATAATCCTACTTTATGATTTATCTTGATAGATGGTAAAATGCTCCCCTTCATTTGGTATCTCATTTTGAATGGAAATTCACCATTCGAAAACTTTCACCGGAGCCTTCTAAGTCTTTTGCAAATGATGCCATGAAGCATGATGGGAAATACCGTCACGGTTTAAGAGAGATGTGTCCCACACAAGTAATAACTGTTATGGCAATCTACTAGAATGATAAGAGAATTCATCAACACAACACACAGCTTAAAAGTAGATATGTGAACAAGAGAAAAATAAGAATGGATCCGCTTAATGTTGGGAAGGAGTTATGTCTGTTGTACAGCAGAAATAAAGCATTTGATCGCTATTAAGCAGCTAATAATATCTAATGTTTCAGGAGGAGATGGTTAAAGCAGGGCTCAAAATACTGATAAACATGTTTCACAATGTTTTAAAAAGCCATTTTTGATTAAAATTTTAGAGTGTAAGTTGAGAAAACTTCCTAGACGTCTGTTTGTAACAGTTTTGATTCAAAGTGGGATCCTTTATATCATGGCATTTTCCATGTAACTGTAAGCAATGTAATCACCTTGAAGTTGCTTGATATACTTTTCAAGAGAATCTGATTTTCTTAGTGGGTAATACACATAACAAGGAGTACAAACACACCTCAAAGGTAGTATTGAGGCTAATCCCAATGGAACAGATTTCTTTATGCTAATAAAAGGTTAAGAACTGCTCATCTGAAAATGCCATAGCTGATATTACCCTCTTGATAACAGTATTTAGAACCCTGTTAGCATCATAAAATACAGCGACCAGTGTATGTACATTGCTCTCCAGGGCATTAAGTAAGAGTGTGTTATTATCATCAGGTAAAGAGTCATCCGTCAGAGCTAAGGACCAGGAATTTTCAGAGAGAATATCTGACGTCAGAGACAAAGCCTCCATCTCAGCTAGAGGGATCTAAACAAGGGAGAGATGATCAAACATAAGAAACCAGGACACATATAAAGTCTTTGAGAAAAAAGAAAGCTATTACCACAATCATTATGCTTTAAACAGTGAGGTGCTTCCCCTGCTACAGTATTAAGTGCATTTGTGTCATGTACATTATTGTGTAGCTAAGATCATCAGAAAAAGCAACTATTTCTTTTTTTTTGTCTTCTTCCTTTTTTTTCCTAATTAATTTAACCAGGCTTACAAATAAGCAAAATGGAAGCCACAAACTGCACCGATAATACTGTCTTTGAGGGATCAAAGTGCTAGCATCTCCAGAACATTTAAAAACTATCCTAATTATATTTAAATGATACATATTTTCAGAAATATAATTCTATAGCTCCGAATTTCAAAACACTAGGGCAGCACTCTCTTTCTAGTAGTCACTGTCTCTGATGTTTTCAGGGTTTTGTTTTTTGTTTTTTTTTGCTTTAAAGAATTTAGCAAGGAACCATGTAATTAAATCTGATTGCACCTAAAAAGGCTATGATCCCCTAATTTTTGAACAGAAGGAACTTTTGTTCAAAGGGCTTGGCAACACAGAGCCTTTGGGTACCTTCATACATGTTATTCCTCAAATTGTGCAACTCGCCCCAATTAAAATGATTTTGAAGCAACGTTAAAGCAATTTGAACTTAAAAGTTGCACAACTCTTCAGATTAGCAATCTCATGAGATTTTGGCTTGTTCTTTGGTGGAGAAGAAGCACCTGGCATCACACAAGATCAAGTATCTGAAAGCTGCCTTATCCCACTCTTCTGAAAGCTTTACTGTCCCAGGCTCAAGCAGAACCATTTTAATACAGCAGAAGAACTCTCACCACAACACACCAGATCTAGCCTTTATATTTAACTGTCAAGGGTTCAATGTAATCTTTTTTTTTTAATTTTATGTCACAAAAGATAAACATCAGATAGGAGAGCTAAAATAACTTAGCAGTTATGATTTCAATGATTCTTTAATTGTATAGATAACACTTAGGTGAAATTAATATTCAAAACTGGACTTCATATACTGAGCACCTATGAAGAGTATTTTTTTTCCCAATCCCTTTTTTGCCAGGAAATAAGCAATTTCAAAAACAAACAAACAAAAATAAAGATGACCTCTCCATTCCAAGTCTCAAGATCAAGGGGAGATAGATTACACACTCCTTTAATCACACCAACAGCATGGTTAAAGGCAGGACACATAGAGAACCACAGAAATGACCTTGGAGAAGGAATGTAGGAGTCAGCGAAACATGAACTAACCTAGGAAATGAAGAAAGATTTAGAAAGAAATTTGAAGCGATTCTGCCTCGACTCCCTTTAGCACAAGAGGGAGGGAAGGAAAATGCCAGTTAGGCTTTCAAGATTGTTACTACTGTATACCCTATATCAATAAAGTGCTCCAGTATTTCTTGTGGAATATGTTTCCTGCCTTGATCTATCTTGAAGGGCTGAGTGAATATTTTCAACTATTTAGTGCATATCCAATAAACCTATGTCTTAAATTTACTTGTTCATTATTTATATCCCACCTTTCAAGATGGTGGACACATCTAATACTCCTTCCTCCTTCTATTTTCCCCACAACAACAACCTTGTGAGGTGAGTTGGGCTGAGAGTGAGTGACTGACCCAGGTCACCCAGCTGGCTTTCCCGGCTATGGAAGGACTAGAACTCACTGTCTCCCGGTTTCTAGCCTGGTGCCTTAACCATTAGACCATACTGGCTCTCTCTGTATCTTATATCTCTTAAAATTTATTTCCATTGATTTAAAAACGGTTTGAAAAAAAATTAATGTTTCAAGACAGATTGTTTCAAATCAATTGGCCAGACATCTCAATTTATTGCATTAAATAATCTTCTATTGTAGATTATTATACTACACGAAAATACTTATATGCAAGTCAGATGCACCCCTCCAAATTGCATATCCAACCCTCGATTTCAAGAAGGAAACAAGCAAACCCTAGATTTCAAGAAGGAATCTATTACTCAAGTTGAACCAAAAATGAGTAATATCTTCCATTATTGGTGAATTAGCCTGTCTCTATATAACTGACAATGCAGTGACTTTATCTTATCCCAGTTGGACCTAAGGTAGAGTTTGCAATTAACAATATACTATAAAAAATAATGTTAAAAAACTATTACACCAAAACTAAAGACTCTTTGTAATCTTTACCAAGACATGCAGCAGATATATGCCTAATTGGAAGATAAATAATGTCACCATTGAGCAAGTGAAAGATTTTAAATATGTGGAAGTTATCTTCCAAATCCTCTTTAATGTGGAAGAACCAAATGAACATGTACCAACCTCCCTCCCCTTCCAACTCAATTTGCTAGCAGCAAAGGCAATAATTTTGTCCCTGAAGCAGTAAAAGCCTTTAAGGCAAAGGTACTAAGGTTGATGCTTTATGGTGCACACACAGCATTAGAAATAGTCCAGGCTAAATTTATAACAGTGATGTTTCACCTCCATTGCTGCATTCCAACGCTTTCCCAGATTGCAATTAGATTTCCGATATAGAGGCATATATGAGAACTTGTCAGTTAAAACATTGGCTAAAAGTACATTGCATAGAAGATTCTTATGCACCCTTAATTCTTATAGGCAAGTTTATTTCTCCTTGGAAAAATATAGATATAGATTTAAATTACAGTCACTTTTCACTTCATTTTTTAATTCAACGAAGATAGAGCAAATGACATCAAAAATAAGCTCTGTGCACTTGAAACTAATCTACAGAGGCACAGAATTCTAGCACTGTACTATTATAAGCATAGTCTGAATTCTGCATGTCTTGTACTGTTCCAGGTATCAATTTGGTAGTGAATGGATCTGAGAGTGAGAACTAAATACTATATCAATTTGAACAAGACAGATTTTCATGCTATCGTCAATAAAAATTAAAACAATAATTCTTTACTGTCCATGTAGGGCAAACATTCTGGAAATGGATAGTACAGCAGGTATCTTGAAAAATTCCTCTCAACTCTCCTCTGTCCCATGGAAAATAACTAAATATAATGGTATATGGGAATGGCCTTGGGAGATCAGGGAAAGAGATGCTTCCTGGGGAATAACCAGACAAAGAAGGGGGGGAGGGGGCTAAAGTTGAATAGAGGGCAGAAAAAGAAGAAAGGATTTGCCTAATTTAGTAATAGTAGTAAAGTTGGAAGGGACCTTGGAGGTCATCTAGTCCAACCCCCTGCTCGGGCAGGAAACCCTACACCATTTCGGACAAATGGCTGTCCAGTCTCTTCTTAAAAACTTCCAGTGTTGGAGCATTTACTGCTTCTGGAGGCAAGCTGTTCCACTGATTAATTGTTCTCACTGTCAGGAAGTTTCTCCTTAGTTCTAGGTTGCTTCTCTCCTTGATGAGTTTCCACCCGTTGCTTCTTGTCCTGCCTTCAGGTGCTTTGGAAAATAGCTTAATTCCCTCTTCTTTATGGCAGCCCCTGAGATATTGGAATACTGCTATCATGTCCCCCCTTGTCCTTCTCTTCGTTAAACTAGACATACCCAATTCTAGCAACCGTTCCTTATATGTTTTAGCCTCCAGTCCCCTAATCATCTTTGTTGCTCTTCTCTGTACTCTTTCTAGAGTCTCAACATCTTTTTTACATCGTGGTGACCAAAACTGGATGCAGTATTCCAAGTGTGGCCTTACCAAGGCATTGAAGAGTGGTATTAATACTTCACGTGATCTTGATTCTATCCCTCTGTTAATGCAGCCTAGCACTGTGTTGGCCTTTTTGGCAGCTGCAGCACACTGCTGGCTCATATTTAGGTGATTGTCTACTAGGACTCCGAGGTCCCTCTCACAGTTACTACTATTGAGCATGGTGCCACCTATGCTGTACTTGTGCATTTGGTTTTTCTTGCCTAAATGTAGAACCTTGCTTTTTTCACCATTGAATTTCATTTTGTTAGTTAGTGCCCAGTGTTCAAGTCTGTCCAGATCCTTCTGTATCTGAAGCCTGTCTTCTGGAGTGTTGGCTATTCCTGCCAGCTTGGTGTCGTCTGCAAATTTGATGAGTTCCCCATCTATCCCTTCATCCAAATCGTTGATGAAGATGTTGAAGAGTACTGGGCCCAGAACAGAGCCCTGGGGCACCCCACTACACACTTCCCTCCATATAGATGCAGTTCCATTGAGGACCACTCGCTGAGTACGGCCGGTCAGCCAGCTACGGATCCATCTGGTGGTGATTCTGTCTACCCCACATTTTTCTATCTTATCAAGTAGTAGGTTGTGATCTACTTTATCAAATGCCTTACTGAAGTCCAAGTAAATTATGTCCACAGCATTCCTCTGATCCACTAATTTTGTCACTTGGTCAAAGAATGCAATAAGATTTGTCTGGCATGATCTATTTTTGACAAACCCATGTTGGCTTTTAGTAATGACTTTGTTTGCCTCTAGGTGTTCGTTGATTCGTTGTTTGATTATCTTTTCCAGGATCTTCCCAGGTATTGAGGTCAGGCTGATAGGTCTGTAATTTCCTGGATCCATTTTTTTTCCTTTTTTGAGGATGGGAACTACATCAGCTCTTTTCCAGTCCTCTGGTAGTTCCCCTGTGTTCCAGGATCTTTGAAAAATATAGTTCAGTGGCTCCGATATCACATCTGCCAGTTCCTTGAGAACTCTGGGGTGTAATCCGTCTGGTCCTGGCGATTTGAACTCATCTAGGCTGGACAGGTGCTCACTAACGATTTTCTTGCCTATCTTAACTTGTGTTTCTGTTTTGTTTTTTGTGGCACTATTTTTGATAGGTTGGTCTGTTTTTTCCCTTTGTGTAAAGACAGATGCAAAAAATGAGTTAAATAGTTCTGCTTTCTCCCTGTTGCTTGTCACCTTCTTGCCACTTCCACCCACTAATGGACCAATCATTTCCTTCACTTTTTTCTTTTTTTTTACATGTTGAAAGAAGCTTTTTTTGTTATTTTTGACTTTGGTCGCAAACCTTAGTTCATTTTGAGCCTTGGCTTTCTTCACTTCATCTTTGCAGGCTCGGGCTATTTGCTGATATTCTGACTTAGTTATGTTCCCCTCTTTCCACTTTC